AACAGTTTTAAATATTTTTTAGGTGTAAACAGTGCTTGATCGGTTCATATTTCTCTCCTGATTTAGAAAAGATGACTTTTTCACTGGAGAAAGCAATATCATGGATGGCGAACTTGTATTTTAGCTGGAAGCAACAGTTAAAAAGTTAAAAACGTCTTAATGATTTGTTTCTTACAAGTGCACAAGATGTAAATTGATAGACTGGTCGTGTGGATTACTTGTGGATTATTGTGATGTTTTTATCAGCTGTTCCAATAAAGACACTAACTCATCTTCATCTTGGATGGCCTGAGGGTGAGTAAAATGCATTTGTTTGAAGACAATTTGCATGACATTTTAAATATCTTTTTACCTATTCTTGTCTTTAATGTCTTAAGCATCTTATCATTTTAAAGTTTACATCATCAGGCATTTCTGAAATAAACTGCTCATTCCTAGACTTCTGATAGGATATCCAGTCTCCCCCTGACCTCCAGCACACAAAGCACTCCGTCTGTTGCTATGCTTATGAGGATGAATTGCAATTGTTTGTGTGAAGTGATTTACAACACTGCTCTGCGAGTAAGTAGAATTGTTTCTGAGTTGAGTCAGTTGTGGTCTGACTGCATACCAGAAGCCTTGGCTAGAGGGTTACGAGAAGAACGTGAAGTGATCAAGTGACAGGACCAGTCAAGTTTTATCAGCCAGCATTTTCGGATTGTTTGGGAAAAGCAGGTAATTAATTTTTTGATGTAGAAAAATCCAAAAAAACGTATATTAGGATTGAATTGTGGATAAAAGTATAAGATCTTGTGCTCTTGAGATCATTCAGTTACTGATAAACAGTTTAGATTTTACAAACGTCTGTTGTGGCGAGGCTGTTGAATTTCCCAGGGTTCTGTTTTGTCCTGTAATATAATATAAATCCAACTTTAATTTCAAGCTGTTTGAAGTGTGCAGGTGCCTTTAATGTCCCATTATTTTGGTAAATGCATTTCAGCATGTACAGTATAACACATTAAAATGAAAGCTTGATGTGTTGAACTGGAGGTTGTTTTTATATAAATGTGCATGTTGTAGAATAGATAAGTGAGAAATCTGCTCTTTTTGTTAAGAATGTGACAGTATCTGAAAGCCTAAAAATGCTGAAAGGTTGGAAGACCACAAGACATGTCCAAATCCAATGTTCGTGTGTCCTCCTGTCTGCTAAGATGCCTTTATCTGGTTGGTTTCTGAAGGGAGCATAGATAGATTCACTGCTTACTGTATGATGACCCACAATTCTGTGCGTGGGCCTTGGCGGTTGGTCAAAAAAGAGGTCTGATGGAGCTGTTGAATGGATTACATTTACGAATAAATGTCAGTTTATTCTTTCAAATATAATTTAAACATGCTTTAGATATAACTCTTGAATTGATTTATGGGATTCTTATTTCTGATTGTTTAATCAACTTTCAAAGTTGCTGTAAAATGCAGCTAAAAGAATGCCTGTAATTGCTCATTGTGTATTTTATTTTGTTGTTTTATTTTTGCATAGGTACACATTTTAAAACACTTCACAAGTGTTCTTTTCCATTCTATTGTGCCTCACAGTTTTAAAACGCAAGGGTGTTCTGCATGTGAACGGCCCGTATTATGTGTTCAGAACTTTTTGTAATATGAATCTTCTCAAACTTCCTGTGTTCTGTCATTCTAGTCACTCGTATGTGCCCTCTTACTGTGCTCTGTCATGCACACTGGATTTCACCCAACCTTTGTGACAGTCCTTACTTATTCGTGCCTGTCTTCCTTCCATTTCCTGTTACTCTCCTCTTTTTCCTTCAGTACCTCCATCATCTGTCTGTTACCTAACAGAACAGAAAATTGCAATTCACCAGCAATTTTCCCCTCTGTGGAGCATGGATGAAGCGTTCGAAGGAAGGCCTCAATTCTCTCTGTGCCTTATATCTAGAACTGCATCATAGTCGACAGCTTCCTTGATCCTATCTTTTATTTATTTGTGTCAGTATGTCACACTCCTCTTTGTTTAAGCTACTACTTTATTTATTCATTTTTGTGGACAGAGATAAGTACACTCTTAAAAATAAAGGTGCTTCAAAAGGTTCTTCAAGCGATGCCATAGAAGAACCATTTTTGGTTCCAGAAAGAACCATTCAGTCAAAGGTTCTTTAAAGAACCATTTCTTTCTTACCTTTTTATAATTTGAAGAACCTTCTTTCGCCACAAAGAACCTTTTGTGAAACCGAAAGATTCTTCAGATGTTAAAGGTTCTTTATGGAACCATTTAGACCAAAAGGTTCTTCTATGGCATCGTGAAGCACCTTTATTTTTAAGAGTGTAGTCTATCACCGCTAATACCTTTCTGATTTATCACAGGTGTAGTTATAGATCCTACAGTTTACATCCATTTCACTCTCCCCATTGTGCCTTTTAGGGTCACTGTTGGTGGAGGGGTGCAAATCTGTAATGTTGTTTTCATCCAAAAGTGTGCCTGCTCATCCTCACCCCTTTGTCCCATCTATCAGAATGCACTGGCTACTGCGAACACATGTGGGGTGGGACTCAGAGGGCACAGGCTCATAGGAAGCCATTGACTCGTGAATAACCTCTATGTGTTTGCCTAGGAAGACACCAGAAGCCACAGACACAATAAAGGATGCAGACGGCAGCCTGGCTTTAAATCTCTATACAAAGGAAGGTCCTCTCCAATAGCGCTGTGGTGTGACTAGCACTTAACAAGTGCAGCTTGTGTCTGTTGAGTGGGTGGATGGACTAACACACGCCACGTTTGTGCTTGCGCTTGTGTCATCTGGTTATTTTGCATTCTACAGCTGTCATTTTGCATTTTTTCGATTCGCAGTGTTTAAATGTACATGCATAAAGGCTGCTGAGGACACATGTTAACTGAACTGCTCCAAAAGCAATTAATGACTAGACTCTTCATGTTTCTAATAAATATGCAGAATAAAACCATTAACAGAAAATACAAACATCCAAAATCAAATTAATTCTGATTGGATGAGCATCTTTCAAAGCAGCTGTAAAATGAAGATAAACGCACACCTGTAATCACACATTGTGTATGAATACAGGGAGTTGGTATGAATGAACTATATTACTTGGTGGAAGAATAGTTTTACTTAATTTTTTTAATTTTGTTTTGTATGTAGACTGATGTTGTGTGTTAAGTGTTTTTGTGTATGAATGCAAGAAGTTGGTGTAAACCATATATTTGGTGGAAGAATTTTATTTTATTTTATATTATTTTATTTTAGTCTTACTGCAATTTATTTTTCCATTCTTATTACTTTATTTTAACATCTTTGAGTCAGATTTGAACTATTCTGTTCAGTTCCAACTAATTAATATTCAGTGTCAATAGCTCTATCAGTATCATATTCTGTATTCTCAGTCTTGATCATAATATTATCGGTTTTCTAGGCTATATCCCCTATAGCACTTCCTTGTAAAGATGTTAGCCAAGTCTGTTTAAATGAATAAATGTAAAGTCTTATGCCCATAGGCAGCTCTAACAGGTTGGAGGGGCTGCCTGCATGCAGACTGAAGCTGAAGCAGATTGCAGGCATCTGGCATGCCAATGTTGTACGGTTTCCCCCCTTAGTGAGTGAACCTGCTGTAGAAGTCCTCCAGTCCCAGACAAAAGCACTCAATCATGGTATAGTGTTGTGCTGAGGTCGGGGTTTTGGCCCGTGACCTTAATTTCACTCCTGCAAAATATACACTTGGGGTGTACCCAGGTGAAAAAGACGTAGTATTAAATGTATTAAAAATATACTTGAAATTCAAGTAGTATGTTTATAATACATTTGTATTCCCAACAGAGCATACAGTAGATCTGAAACTGCTGAGGCTGGGAAGGTTTTTGACTATATTACCGACCAGGTACATTGTTCTCAGAAAGAATTCATCATTCTTAAAAAGAAAACAAATCATCAATCATCATTTGTTTTTTTGTGTGTGTGTGTGAAATATTAACATTTGTTGTTTATCAGATCAGCTGCTATAGAAGACAAACAAAGGAAGTGCAGAGACAAGCAAAGGAATAGTAAATATATTTTCATTTTGTATCACCTCTGTTATAGAGATTTTTGAATCAGGCCTAATGGAGGGTGATTTGGTCAATCTTGGAAGAAAAACGTTAGCAATGTGTCCATTTCAGCTGTCT